TGGGGGATCCTCGGGGCACCATGCCGCTGTCTCGGGTAACGGCTTGAGAGTTGCCGGATGGCGTCTTGGAGCAGTTTTGAACCGTCATTGGGGCCCTCCGGCGGGCAAGTCCTGAGCCCTCTTGGGCCAGTACGGGATCCTTTGTGAGGAGTGTCAGGAAGTTGTTTTGGATAGTTTTGGAACGGTTTTTGGTGCGTCCAGGGCGCTCTCGGACGCCAGGAATATCGAATAGCCGTGCAGGCCACAATCATACAACAACCAACGAGCAATAATTTCTTCAGCCTCTTGGGAGTGATATGTGGACTGTCTTCGGGCGTCTGGTGGGGGATCTGGGGCCGTTGGAGGCCATATTGAACCGTTTCGGGGGTCTATTTCGAACCGCGGCCGACCCATTTGCATTGGAATCCACTGCCCCTCTGGTCTGATGCAGCTGTATAGGAGGGGGAACAGAGGACGGAGTGTTTACACAGTTTGGAGGAATTCGTGAATTCAGTATGGGTCGGGCTTGAAGCGCCTCGAAGAAAGCGCGCGCGCCCGAATCGCAATCATATGGCTATATGCGGACCCAGGACAGTTTGCTTCCCGTCGTCGGCCTCGCCCTTGCTCCGTTCCCCTTCCTTTCTTCCCTCCCCTGGATGATGTCGAAAGCGTCCGCGGCTCGGGCGGGGGAGAGCCCCTGATCACCTCCCTCATTATTCCTTGTTCCTCTTTGCTTCCCTGCTCCACCGTCCGTCGTCCTACCTCGTCTTCCATCCATGCTCGAAAAGCGGAGTCCCTGGTGCCGCGTGCCCGCATCAGTGGTATATCGCCTTTTCGATATCCGAGCACAGCGGAGCAACCAAACAGAGGCGATTGACAACGTGAGCGTTCGGGGCGCACTCCAAACGCGGGCGGCACGGCCGCCGAGCACAGTCGCATCGCTAACATGTAAATTATAGGTGCCTGCGGCAAGGCCCGCCCCTTTACCAGCGCAGCGGTCTGTATGGCGACGAGGGGAGCTTTGACTGTTAAGAGGTCCGTGGCATGTGACACCTCTCGTGTTTTGGGATTGCTGCGCGGCATTTTTCGGGGTCATTCGAGGCCTTTTTCGGGGCATCTTCGGGCCGTTGGGGGTCGCTTTGTTGCCGCGTTTCACCGCGGCCGCCCTGGGCCAGGGAAGCGTGTATTTGCAGCTCCCTCGGGGGCGCCCTGGGCCGGGGAAGTGTGTATTTGCATCCCCCCCTAGCTGGGCATGTCGACTTCGGTTCTGGGTTGGCAAAGTCGGGGCACCCTCGAGGTGGCGAGCGTTCACCTTTCCGGAATACACAGATCAAGGTGTGATCTGTGTACACAGTTTGTGTCTTCAACTGTGTATTTTCGTGTGTGGGCCCACTGTTTACACAGATCGTGGTGTGATCTGTGTACACAGATCTCGTTCCCATCTGTGTATTTGGAGTGTGCGCCTCGCGGGGGGTGTTGACTGGGCGGGAACTTACACGTTTTTCGTTCGGTGGTCCAGGGGGGGTGTCGTGCGCAGTCGAAATACACAGTTCGTGTTTCCAACTGTGCATCTGTCGCGCGCCGCTCGGCGGAGTGGTCACTGGGCGGGAGTTTCCGCGAGTCTCCCAGCTGGTCCACCAGGGGGCAGTTTGGGCATGCAAAGGCGCGGGGGGGTGGGGATGGTGGGCTGTGGGAAGGAAGGGGTTCGATAGGAGGGGCGGCCAAAGAGGCCAGGGATGAACCGGAATGGACGAGAGGGGAGGAAACGGGCCTAGGAGGAGCTGCATCATCGGTGTCACCATCACATGGACGAGGGGGGCGGGGAGGGGCACATGGAGGGGGCATGATGTGCATTAGGGCGTCGAGGATGGGGGGAGGGCAGGCATGTGGACGATAAGGGGAACTAATCCGGCGGAGGAGGACGACGAGGAACGACATGAATTGGCACATGGGGGGGTGACAATGTGGATGAGGGGCATGGTGAGGACCGGGGGTTATCGGAGGGGCATGAGGAGAGTGGGGCCTAAGCGAAGGGATCTTGGAAGGCGGCGGGGGATGGGGCATGAGTTTGAGGGCGGGCGCCAGCTAACGATTAGCTGAACAGTGTTCTGCGTATACGCGCACCCCCCCCCCAGAACACAGTGACACAGGCTCGAGTCGACGACGCCCCTTGGCGTCGCGTTGATGCCGCCCCGATTTGCCAGACCGCATATGCACAGATAGGCATAATTTGTGTTTGAACGTTTGTTTCATGACCCTCTCTATAGTAACAGACCCGCGTTGGAAACCAACATTTGCACTGCTTGGCAGGGAGCTCCAGAGGCCCAGTCGGGCAGTGGAACGCCGTCGGGCCGAGCTCGAGGGTTGGCTCGGCAACGTGCGCGCACAGCTCGAGAAGAGGCCGCGGCCGAGGTGAATCGCAGTTGCGGCTTGCCTCAGCGAGCTGCATCGCCTGCGCCGCCCTCGCCCTTGTCTTCGCCATCATGTTCGCCGCCGCGCTCGAGACCGCCGCCGCCGGAATCCGCGGGGGCGGGGCAGCCGGAGCCGAGGGAGAGGTCGCCGAGTCGTCGGGCGACCATGTATGCGCAGCTGCGCAGCGCGCGCGGAGCTCCGAAGGCGCAGTTGCGCGCGCTGGAAGTTCTAGAGGGTCTAGCATCCGAGGTGCCCGAGCGTGCGCGGCCGCGCGCGGCGCAGAAACGCCCCTCCTGCAGAGGGACAGTGAACTGCCCGAGTGGGCGAATCCGCCTCGTCTCACCCGGCGCCTGTCTCGCTGCAGCCGCGACGGCCGCCCCCGCCCCCGCCGCGCCTGCAGCGCGCGCGGGTAACGCCCTCGCAGCCGCTGTTGCGACCGGCGCAGCAGGACGCGCCCCATTGGGGGCGCCGCCCGGAGCGGGGCAAAGGTCTCGTCGAGACAGTCTTCGGCGACCGCGCGCCGACCGCCATCGCAGCGCCAGTGAATGCGGTGGTCATCGCGCGAGCGGCCGCGGAGCGGGGTGTGTTTGTTCGGACGCATCAGTGCTCAGAGTGCCCACGTCGGCATCGTCGCGCGGGACCCCGAGCGGCTCCGACGCGGCAAAGGCGGCGAGACCGCCGAGAAGCACGCGGGCGTTCTCGCGCAGGCGGTCGCATGCGCCGCGACCGCGAGGAACGCTAACGACTAGTCCTCCTGGCGCACAGAGAGAAGCCGCTCGACCGCGCTGGCCTCGCTCTCCAGCGGCCGCAATGCCTTGCAGAGGCCGCAGTTGCGGAGTGCGCGGCTGGCCCTGCGCGCGCGGTTTCGTTCGCGCGCTTTCGCTCCAAGGTCCCCCAGTGGAACCCGGGCGTGGAGATCTTTTGCGCCGCATCAGCCCGGCGCGAGCGGGCTTCAGACGCCGAAGATCGCGCAAGAGGAGCACATGCCGTAGGGCGCCCCGTTCGTCGAAGATGCCGCGGGGGCCATCCAGCGCCGCGGCGTGCGATTTCACCGCGGCCTCTACGACATCCCGCCTGAACAGTTCCAAACAGCGCGCTGCAGTTGCGGAGCCAGCCGCATTTGCCCTGCCGTGGTCGCATTCGAGGCACCCCCCCGCCCGGCTCGGAGGCATGGAAGACGGCGAGCTCTCCTTGCGCCCGAACAACATCCCCTCCCCGGTGAC